CGACTATCATTGAGATCCTCCCTCATCGCACGATAGCACAGAGACAGAAAATCAAGGAGGCTTTCAACCTGAGCGTAGGAAAGGTAAAACAACACTACACATATATAACACATTCTGTTTTATTTTGCTTTATATTTTGATTCTCATTTATTCATTCTTTTTGGCATTTACAGTATATCAAATTAAGCTTATTTATAAAGCATTATAAAAATGACAGTGGTTGACCACTGTACTGTACTCATTCATTCATTTTCTTTTGGCTCAGTCCCTTTATTAATCCGGGGTCACCACAGCGGAATGAACCAGCAACTTATCCAGCAGGCGTTTTACGCAGCGGATGCCCTTCCAGCTGCAACCCATCTCTGGGAAACATCCATACACACTAAATCACACACATACACTACGGACAATTTAGCCAAACCAATTCACCTGTACCGCATGTAGCCCACGCGAACGCAGGGAGAACATGCAAAAAAAAGGTTGAAATCCCAACTGACCCAGCCGAGGCTTGAACCAGCAACCTTCTTGCTGTGAGGCGACAGCACTACCTACTGCGCCACTGCGTCACCCACTGTACTGTACCTGCTTAAAATGATACTAATAGTAATAATAATAATAAATGGAAATGACTACAGTGTCGGCGCAAATAGCCTAGTGGTTAGCGTGCCGACATATGGTGCAATAGCATGTCAGGGCGTCGCGAGTTCAAATCCCGGCTCGATGACATTTCCCTACCCTACCCCCTCTCTCTCTCTCTCCAACTTCGCTTCCTGTCTCAATACTGTCCTATCTAAAAATAAAGGCCAAAAATAAATCTAAAGAAATGACTACAGTACACTTAAGAGGGTAAAGCAGTTATTAATACCAATTCTGTATAATTTATGGACAGTAAAGCCTTAAAAAAGAGGTATAGAAAATAATAGAGTAAAATCTCTCACAGTGTTAAATGCAAACAGTAGATGAAGGTTTTTAATCGTGAGAAAGCTACAAAACAATAGCAATTTCTTTTTTGTAAAACTGATATCTCAGGCAGTGGCACAGTGGGTAGCACGTTCGCCTCACAGCAAGAAGGTCGCTGTTGACGTCAGTTGACGTTTCTGTGTGGAGTTTGCATGTTCTCCCTGCGTTCGCGTGGGATTCCTCCGGGTGCTCCGGTTTCCCCCACAGTCCAAAGACATGTGGTACGGGTGAATTGGGTAGGCTAAACTGTCCGTAGTGTATGAGTGTGTGTGTGGATGTGTGGATGTTTCCCAGAGATGGGTTGCGGCTGGAAGGGCATCCGCTGCGTAAAAGCTTGCTGGATAAGTCGGCGGTTCATTCCGCTGTGGCAACCCCAGATTAATAAAGGGACTAAGTCGACAAGAAAATGAATGAATAATATCTCAGGCTTTAGTGATATCATCTATGTGTGTTTATAGTTTATAATATACACAATGAAAACATGATTCATTAGATTTACTACTTTTTTTTAAGGTATGTACTTGCAAACAATTTAAATGGGCTGAATTTATATACTCCAATTATTTTAAACATTATTAAATTTAATTTATTTAAATTCAGGGTGGCACAGTGATTAAGTGGTTAGTACTGTTAGTCCCGGGTGGGCCTTCGGGTGCTCCAGTTTCCCCCACAGTCCAAACACATGCGCTATAGGTGAACTGAATAAACTAAATTGGCCGCAGTGTATGAGTGAGTGTGTGAATGTATAGGTGTTTCCCAGTACTGGCTTGCTGGTGGATGGGAATCTGCTGCTTAAAAAAACATATGCAAGAATAGTTGGCAGTTCATTCCACTGTGGCAATCCCTGATAAATAATGGACTAAGCCAAAGGAAAATGAATGAATGAATGTTTAAATTCAGCCCAGATAAATAGCTTGCAACCACTTACCTTAAAAAAATGTAGTAAATAATTTTTTTCAGTGCAGTAAATATCTCCAGTTTTGATCATTTTACTGCATCCTTGCAGATCTCAGACTTCAACAGTGACTATGATCTTTCTGAAGTAAGTTGGAAAATATCAATTTTTGAGAGATTGGGGATCAGGTTGTGCTTCGGCAGACTGTTACCTCAGACACTGCAAGACCTGCTTTAAGCTTGTGGAATTTCCTGTTTTGAAAGAGCAGTCGGAGTCTTGGAAAGAGGAAGAGCTTCAACGTGTCCTGCTTCAAATATGCTACGGACGTTAAAACCGGTCTCTAAAATTCATACAAAATAGAGAGGTAGTTGAAAAATGTGGAGCTGCTCTTTGTCTTCTTCGACTCCAGATGTTTACGTTTATCTAAGTCAAAATGGGGTGAAAAATCGTTACAATTCGTCAAAATTACAGGGTGGATTTTCGGATAAAATTCGAGAGCTTAAATCACGCAGTTTTCTGACACTCTGTCTTTTGTCATTATCAGTTTGGCACCAGTGGCCACATCTGTGAAAACTTTGCTGAGCAAATGTTTGGAGCAAAAGTCAGCTGGCGTCTCCTCACAAGCAAGACGGTCTTGTTGCAGGGGAAAGAATCATGATGAAAACACATGCTGAGCTTCCTATCAAGATTTAAAGGGGTCCTATTATGCAGAAATCACTTTTATAAGAGGTTTAAACACAGCTGTTTGTCAACAGTTTGTGAATATAGCCAGCTTCCAATTGTAAAAAATTATTAATTCTATTTTTTTATAATTACACCTGATGAAAACAGTCTGTAGAAACACTTTGATTGACATTCTCCCTTTTTACGTGTCATTAGAGGGGGGAAGCCCCGCCCATTAGTGACTATCTTTACCTCATTAGCATAAACAGTCCTGAGTAAGAAGCAGCCATTTGCTGAAACTTCAGCCCTGTTTGTGGAACTGGGCCTATATTTCCAAATGTACATAAAATAACTCAAAAACAACCCCAAATCAGAATAAAATATGGAAATTTGTGGAAAACACACATAAAAAAAGAAAGTAGTGCTTTTTAAATTTACTTTAATTACTTTCCTGTCATTCAGACCTGCAAAACATTACAAAAAAAGTTGGGATGATCAATTTAGGGCCTAGTTATCAGGTAAACTGGTCAAATGATGTGATTTGAAACAGGTGAGGTCAACAGGTGTTTGTAATTATGATTTGGTACAAAGAAAAGTCTAGTCCTTTAGGAGCAAAGATGGCCAGAGGATCGCCAGTTTGCCCACAAATACATGAGAAAACTATTCAAATGTTTAAAAACAATGTTCCTCAAAGAAAGAGAAGAAGACATTTGGATATTTCACCTTTAATAGTGCATAACGTCATTACAAGATTTAAGGAATCTGGAGGTATTTCATTGTGTAAGGGACAAGGGTGCAAACCTAAGCTGAACAACTGATCTCTGACCCCTCAGTTGGCACTGCATCAAAAATCCTCATTCATCTATAAGCGATATCACCACATGGACTCAGGACTACTTTGGCAAACCTTTGTCACGTACCACAATACGTAGTTCCATCTGAAAATGCCAGCTAAAACTGTACTGTGCCAAAAGGAAGCCCTATGTTAACAATGTCCAGAAGTGTTGTTGCCTTCTCTGGACTCTGAGGCATTAGAGATGGACCATCATGTAGTGGAAATGTCTACTGTAGTCAGATGAATCAGTATTTATTTTTTGAAAAATGAACGCTGTGGACTTTGGACTAAAGAAGAAAAGGATTACACAGACTGTTACCAGAAATGGTAAGGAGGTTGTGTCAGTGCCTTTGTCAAATGCTGAAAAGTACATAGAGATTTTGGAGCACAATATGCTGCTTTTCCAGGGATGACCATGCATATTTCAACAAGACGATGCAAAACCGTCGGCGCCAATAGCCTAGTGGTTAGTGCGTCGACCCGCAGCGACCCGAGTTCGATTCCCGTCTCGAGGTCCTTTGCTGATCCTTCCACCTATCTCTACTCCCCACACTTTCCTGTCTCTATATCTCCACTGTCCTATCAATAAAGATGAAAACCCCTAAAAAATAATTATAAAAAAAAAAGACAAATGCAAAACCACATTCTGCACACATTACAAGTCCTGGCTGGGGAGGAAGAGGATACGGGTACTTGACTGGCCTGCCTGCAGTCCCGACCTGTCTCCAATAGAGAATGTGTGGAGCATTTAGAAGCACAATATATATATATATATATATATATATATATATATATATATATATATATATATATATATATATATATATATATATATATATATATATATATATCCTCATTTCCTTTCTACAACTATCTTTGTCTGGAAGAAACCCCCCTCCTTTCCTTCTTCCACCCTTATCCAGAATGGGTGGCACAGTGGCTCAGTGACTAGCACTGTTGCCTCAAAGCAAGAATACCAATGGCGTCGAGTCCTGGCTGGGCTATCTGTTTTTTTCTGTGTGGAGTTTGCATGTTCTACCTGTGTCCGCGTGGGTTTCCCCCAGGTTTCCTAGTTTCCTCTCACCATCCAAATATGCTCTATATTACAGATAAAACAAGCCTAAATCTTTTTTCTAATGTCCTACTCTCAGTAAGTTCACCTTGGCCTCAGCAGTGGAGGAGTTTGATATCGACCTGAGCTCAATTTACCCTCGCCCTGTTAAAGTGGAGAGCCCTGGGGCCCAAGGATCCCTTGAGCTCAGGGCTCTCTCCAGGGACAGCATTCCAAACAAGCAATGAAAAATTCATGAGCTAAGTGTGAACTTTTTAAATGTATTTTAAGTGTTGTGGAAAGGAATGGCAACATTACAAAGTGGTAAATGCTTTACTGTCCCAATATTTTTTAAATGTGTTGCAAGAACCAAAATTGGAATACGTGTCTAAATTAAATAATTAAATAATGTTTGTAGAATTATCTGCAATGAAGTACAAGTCAAAGTAAATTTAGAAATCACTACTTTCTTTCATTTGCGTTTTCCATACTGTCCCAAAATTTTCTGATTTGGGGTTGCAATTTAGACTGGTAACATCAACAGGCTCAAAATTCAAGAAAACATGAGTAAACGACCAAAAAAAGATCTCTCTTACCGAATCGTCATCCATCACGGGTGGCGGCGGCGGCTCACGAACGATCTGTTGTGATAAGAAAGATAAGAGACTTTTACAGCTCTGCGTACCACAGGAAACGTCTTTGAAGAAATGGAAATCAGATTCTGATAAAAAATATTGCTTTCAAAACTTCATCTCACTTCTTAGCAAGACTTTTTCCGTGGCTCTGATTTTCACATTCATTTGCACATCAGAAAAGACATCACTGGGCTCAAAAACTACTTGAAAACCACTTTTCGGCATCATAATGACTGGATTTTTGAGCTCCGGTGCGAGACTCACCACAGTGCAACAGAGCGGCCAAAACCACCAGAGAGCCGCCACAGCGATCAGCAGCAGCAGGATCAGCAGAGCGATGGCCAAAAACGTCCCGTCCGTCTGGTGGACAGAGCAGAAACACAGATCCAGGACCAAGATCACGCTCCAAACCAAACAAACATTGAATAATCTTCCTAATCATGCCACACTCCAACCTCTCTGGATGGGGTTCCACTCAGATGTTTGCGGTGTAGTGTGAATATTAATAGGAATTGCTGCCAGAAGAATTTTTTATTTTTTTTTAAACCATGTCTTGATCTGGGTGCGAGTGACTAAGTCAGGAACCCTTAAAAAGGTATCACATATTCAGTGTATTTTTTTTTAAAATCCCTGTCTGAGGTCAAATACGGCATCTCACAAAACATTTCAGAGGCATATTTCACCTTGAAATCAACGGGAAGTATTTCTCGTACTCGCTTAGAGATGAAGATGCAGTCTGTTCTATGAACTCAAGACTTTCCTTTTGGAGTAGTTATTAATGGAAAACTGTTCATTCACAGCATAAAAAAGAAATAAAATAATTCTGACGTCTTTGAATTGACTTCGTTTCTTGCAATAAGTAGGGTTTCCTCACAAAATCTCAAGTTATTTCATTCATTCATTTTCATTCGGCTTTGTCCTGTCACGGTTCAGTGAGGGGAAGAGTAGCGAGGACTCAAATGCAGAAAACAATGGGTCTTTATTAATGATACAATTAAAAGGCAAAACAAACTACCCCAAGGGGGAAAGCATTAATGAAACAAATAAACAAACAAAACAAACTAGACTGGGTAGGCTGGCAGGAATCAGGACTGGAGGACAGGACAAGGCAGGAAACAATGACGAACTGGCACAGGACAGCAGACATGAAGAGAATATAAGCAGAATTAAAGTAATTTACAAACAGGTGTACATGATATACTAATAATGGGTTTACAAGGAGGGTGGGGCTAGACAATAGACGTGAGACCACATCACACAGAGACAACACAAGCCATGCGCTTACATGAAACGAGACTAGAACACTCAGCCAATGAGAGAACTCATTGACCGCATGTTCGTATGACAAGACAAACACAAAACTGAAGCACACAACAAAAGCACAAGGCCACAATGTAAACACAAAGCCACATGCTTAGACAACAGACATAAGACATGAGCACACGATAGATGAACACCTCACCGTTTGCTCACATATGCACCACGCATGTTTCATCTCAGTGCCAACCAAAGCCGAAACCAACTAGACGGAGACATTGAGAATGAAACAATGCGATGCCGACAGAACAAAAACCAAACATGAGTGCGAGAGCGCGAGTCCCAGATACAGACCGCATAAAGCAGGAGCACGGTCTGGGCGCACCCACGACGGTATATACATATATATACATATATACATCATATATGTAGGCCATTGGCATACAGAGATACACACAATGACAGAAAAAGGACAAGACAGAGCTAGTGTCCGGCCTCTGCCACCAATACAAGAATTTACAAGACCTGAGTGGCAGAACCCTGACAAGTCCCTTTGTTTATCAGGGGTCACCACAGCATTTGTTTTACACAGCAGATGCTCTTCCAACTGCAACCCAGCACTGGGAAACATCCATACACATGTACACTATGGCCAATTTAATTTATTCAAGTCCCCTATAGCGCATGTGTTTGGACTGTGGGGGAAACCAGAGCACTCGGCAACCCACACCAACATGGAGAGAACATGCAAACTCCACACAGAAATGTCAACTGACCCAGCCAGGACTCGAACCAGCGACCTTCTTGCTGTGAGGTCACAGTGCTAACCACTGAGCCACCGTGTCACCCTGATGCTATTTCTTGAATGTAAATCCAAAAAGTAACAGGGGTAATTCAGGGGTAGTTAATGTGTGGGTGCTCTTTGGATAAGGGATTCATAAAGGTAAACAATGAAATCATAAATCCAAGGCCCTCAAAGTAAATTAAAAAGTTCAGAAGCCTTTATTAACATGACTATTCATTAAAAACAGCACTATTTAAAGCAGTGGTTCCCAATGATGAGGTCGGGACCCCCTGGGGGGTCATTTGTCGATTTCAAAAATCCTAAATAAATTTTGGTCACATGCATAATTGAATATTAATCAGATGATGTCATTATGCTGCTGTGCTATCAGCCAATCGTTGCATTGCCGATCATGATTTTGAGGATCGATAGATCTGTCCTTCACAACACAGGCAGTGATCCCAGATCAGTTCATTCAGACATTTTAATTTGATTCGCGAACTACGCGAACCAAATTAGCCAGAGATCAGTTTTCAAGATTTAAAGATCCTGGATCTGCCAAATCATCTTAGATCGTTTAAGCATGGTACGATGAACAGACCCCCATTATCCAATCACAAGGCAAAGTTTAGTGAGTTTTTTCTTTTTTTTTTGTTATTGTTATTACAATTATTATTGTTATTGTTATTTTTTTATTGTTATTCATCAAGGAATTAACTTGATAAATGTGCTTTATTCACTAAAAATACCATTTAAACATCCTCCGTTAGCTCAACCTGAGTTTCTTTCTTTTGTTGAACACAAGAGAAGACATTTCGAAGAATGTTGGAAAGCAGCAATTGTTGACTTGCATAGCATTTTTTTAGTTCCTACACTGTAAAAATATCTGTTAATTAAGAGTTTCCGTAAGTAAACGTTGTGTTTTACGTTTTGTTTACGGTTGTGAATTGCATTATGGGATCATGATCTCTGCTTTGTCGACTTTTGATGTTAAAAAATTCAACTCCACAGTTTACCAAAGTGACTTCTATTAAGGGCTGTGCAATTAATCGAAAATCCGATTACGATTTTGGCTTCTAACGATTATGAAAAACCATTAATCGAGATAAACGATTATTGCATTATATTCCGCCCCCTTTCCAGTTGTACACATTTGTTGCTCTTAAAAGCGTGAAAGACCACATGCTTTATATATATATATATATATATATATATATATATATATATATACATATATATATATATATATATATATATATATATATATATATATATATATATATATATATATATATATGTGTGTGTGTGTGTGCGTGTGCGTGTGCGTGTGCGTGTGTGTGTGTGTGTGTGTGTGTGTGCAGACTGTGCACACACAGTCAGATGCATGCGGTCAGCATTCGCTCTCATTCGCACACTGAGACGAGAAGACCAAACATCTAAAGTCATTTTAATGTGAGCACTTTATTGGTCAAATAGGTGTCAAAACGCGGTGTTTAGTGATTATTCATATAAACCTTCATTTGTGTGATTAACAAACTAGTTGAGAATTAAAAGACACGTGAAAGAGAAACCATTAAAGTAAAAATGTGCACATCCTACTGCCGCCTGTTTTTATGCTTATTAATCAAACAAAAGGAGAAAATTCCTCAGTGCTCTTGACTGAAGGACTTTTGTAGCTAAAGTGTTTTTCTTACAGTGAAGATGCTTAAAGCACTTTTTTTTTTTATATTTTTATTCTATTGTATTTATTTCTCTTTCCTTTGCAGGGTGGAAAATAACTGCATATATGCAATTATAGTCAGAATTATTAGCCCTCCTGAATATTAGCAACCCTTTTCCTTCCCAACATCTGTTTAATGGAAAGAAGATTTTTTTCCCAACTTATTTCTGAACATAATAGTTTTAATCACTCATTTTTAACAACTAATTTCAAACAGATTCAAAGTGCGATTCAAAGGCTTAATTAGTGTAAATAGGCAAGTCATTGTATAACGGTAGTTTCTTCTGCAGACAAGCAAACAATATATTGTTTTAAATAATTAAAGGGGGCTAATAATATCAACCTTAAAATGGCTTTCAAAATATGTAAAACTGCTTTTATTCTAATCAAAACAAAAACAAATAAGCCTTTCTCCAGAAGAAAAAATATTAGAGGAAATACTGTTAAAATTCCTTGCTCTGTTAAACGTAATTTGGGAAATATTTATTAAAAAAATGAATAAATTCTCAGGAGCGCCACTAATTTTGACTTCATCTGGTAATCGTTTTGAATAATCGTGATTATGATTTCTCCTAAAATCGAGCAGCCCTACTTCTGTTGACATTTTAGTCGTTTGAAACAACATAATACATAAGAAATTATAATAAGTCAAGTAACAGAAAATGTGCTGGCAGTTTATTAGGTTTCTGTATAGTAATATACAACACCAACCCAGACAATTTAGCAGGTCAAACTAATAAAAATGTTCCTGAAAGTCTTTTTTTTTATGTTACTGTTTTCAAGGTTAAAACTTGGAGGAAAGATCCAAATAAACAGAAAAATAAAAACAAGAATCACTAAATACAGAAAACGGCCAATTTACTGATATTTTTACAGTATATGGATGTCAATGATACAGGTTTCCAACATTCCTCAGAATATCTTGCTTTGTGTTTAACAGAATAAACCCAATCGGTTTATAACCACTTGAGAGTGACTAAATGAGTTTGCATTTGTTTGGGTGAACTGTCCCTTTAAGAGTATTTTCATCCAGCTTTTAAAAAAAATTAAAAATGTGCATAAATAATGCTAATTCTTCTATAGGTGAAATGCGACCTGAAGGTGTTTGCATGAGATTGCACATAAAGTGATAACAAGACCCTATCACATTCACAAATTCTGCTCGTCAGCAACAGTGTTTATTTAGTTGACATGCTGCATGTCGGCCTCTCAAATCTACTCTCTCGCAGCAAAGATTGCTGTTGTAACTGTATGAAGGTAAATTGGCTTGCAAATCTGAACATGAGAACTTGTGCCTTTGTGTGCAGTTGGGGATGTTTACATCCACTCTGGGGGGATTTTAAGGCTTAATTTGGCCACAACTTTCTCTGTTTTTCAGCAAATAGAATGCTTTTTGGTGACAAATCTTATTTTTACACATATTTTGGGAAAATTCTTTGAAAATACACAATGTACTCTGGACAAATTTCCCACTCTTTTACCCTTTACTATACATGTTTTACTCTTTGGGGACTGTTTTTGCCAACCCAAGCTCATTCTGAAAACGTAGTCCCGCTGACGTTTCTGGAGGCTGCGGGGCGATGTGACGCCGTTCCCTTTCGCGCTTGCCGGCCGACCGCCTACCTCCTTGTGGAGGGCTTCCCCGCTGCAACCCGTTTGTCCACTCAGCTCATCGTGTACGTCGGCAGGCTCGAGATGCAGAGAGGAGTTGACCACGGCGACCGGTTTCGAGTCCGGGGAAGAGCGTTTCCAGCAATCGGGTAAGACAAAAACAGAATCCCAAAAATTAAGTGAACGAGTTTTGTGACAGGGTGAGGACGCGGTAAAATCCGAAAACGAGGTAGGAAAAAAAAAAATCAGGGCTTTTATTTTTTTGGACGGATTTTGTAAACTGTAGCTCGGGTTTAGGGAAGTGAGTGGGCGGGCGGGTCGATCGGTAAGATTGGTTGGGTTCAGGGAAGGAGGAGGGTTGGCCGGTCACGCAGTCAATCATCCGGCCAGTCGGATAGCGGCCTCCGGCGGGTTCACGCGAGAACATCGCGTGCGTGAACCATGCTCGCGAGAGGCGTCTGAGACGCGAAATTTTTATTAAAAAAGTGGACCTTTTTGCAGTTATACGCCTTCGTTTCTATTTACATATGAGGTTTAAGTACTGCATTTTAGTGACATTTTAAGCAGTACTTCATCTGCTGCGTAAAAACGGGCTGGATAAGTTGGCGGTTCATTCCAATGTGGTGACCCCAGATTAATAAAGGGACTAAGCGGAAAAGAAAATGAATAAATATTAACATGACAAGTTCTCCCAAGTTCAAATTGGCAAGCTCTTGAGTTTTGCTACTGATTTCCCCTCGTGTTATGGCACCCCACCAGAGGAGCGTTAGTTTGTAGAGTAGTACAGGAATACTGACTGTGTTCAGAGGGCAGACTGAAGATGGAGCTGAGCTAGAGGAGGCAGTGGCTCTGCCCAGTGTAACTGTGGTTGTGGGTCTGACACTGCTGTCCGGCGGGATTTCTGTACTCACACAGCGGACGGTCGAGATGGTCACAGAGCTGGAGATAAAACTCAGGCCGTTGTTCATACTGACATGGAGGGAGGCAGACCTGCAAATTAAAAGCACATTCATATGACCATATTTAAATGAATCTGCCTTATTTAAAGGGACAGTTCAGCCAAAATGTAAATTCTGTTATCGTTTATGACAGTGGTTCCCAACCTGGGGGCGCCAGAGTTCACAGGGGGGGCGCGGGAGAGGATAAGTATTGAGGTAGAAAAAGGCATAAAAATGCTCCACTATTATAAAGGACTTTGCAATTAATCGAAAATCCGATTTAGATTTCGGTTTCAAACGATTATAAAAAAGCATTAATCGAGATAAATGATTATTGCATCATATTTCGCCACAGTTGTACACGTGTTGCTCTTAAAAGCGCGAAAGAGCTTATGTGTGTGTGCAGCACGATCACGCAGTCAGAAGCATGTGGCCGGTCAGCATTCACTCTCATTCACACACTGAGACGAGCAGAGGAGCGCAGACATCTAAAGTCATCTTAAGGTGAACGCTTTAATGGTCAAATAGGTGTCAAAACGCGGTGTTTAGTGATTATTTATATTAACCCTCATTTGTGTAATAAACAAACGAGTTGAGGATCAAAAGACGTGAAAGAGAAACCATTAAAGATACAGCGCGCTATAATCCTTCTGCCGGCTGTTTTTATCATTATTAAACAAACATAACAAGAAAACCCTCGCTGGTCTTGACTGAAGGACTGCTGTAGCTTAAGTGTTTTTGTTACAGTGAAGATGCTTAAAGCACAGTTTGTTTCATATTTTTATTCTATTCTATTTATTTCTCTTACCTTTGCAGGGTGGAAAATAACTGTATGTATACAGTTGAAGTCAGAATTATTAGCCCTCTTGAATATTAGCAAACCTTTTCCTGCCCAATTTCTGTTTCATGGAATGAATATTTTATTACCTTATTTCTGAACATAATAGTTTTGATATCTCATTTCTAATTACTGATTTCTTTTTGTCTTTGCTATAATGACAGCACATAATATTTTACTAGATATTTTTCAAAACACAAGCATTTAGATTAAAGTGCAGTTCAAAGGCTTAATTAGAGTAATAAGGCAAGTCATTATAACGGTAGTTTATTCTGCAGACAATCAAAAATATATATTGCTTAAGGGGGCTAATAATATTGACCTTAAATTGGTTTCAAAATATTTAAACCTTTCTTTATTCAAGCTAAAATAAAACAAATAGAAGAAAAAATATTATAGGAAATACTGTTAAATTTCCTTGCTCTGTTAAGCATAATTTGGGAAATATTTATAAAAAAAAAAAAAAATCTCAGGAGCGCTAATAATTTTGACTTTAACTGGCAATGGTTTTGAATAATCGTGATTACAATTATGACCAAAATAATCGTGATTATGATTTTTCCCAAAATCGAGTAGCCCTACTATTATATATGTATTTTTAAGTACCAAAAAAAAATCTAAACACATACTTAAAATTCCAACATAATAGTGAAAATAATTAAAATAAATAACTTTAAATAATTATTTAAATTTTGCTCACTCGCTCAATCTGCTTGTCAACGTGTCGTAAAGGCAAAATCAAAACAAAAATGGCAGACAAACGTAAATGCAGTGATTCTTCAGAGGCGAAGAAAAAGATTAGACAGTATGACAAAGCCTACCTAGATTTTAGTTTTATTGAAGGCCAAGACAAGTTAAAACTGATTAATTAATATTTTCTATACATATTACTATATATTAATATTACACAAAAACACACACACACACACACACACACACACAAACACACACATATATATATATATATATATATATATATATATATATATATATATATATATATATATATATATATATATACACACAGTACATATGTGTGTGCGTGCGTGTGTGTATTTATATGGTGGGGGGGCTCCAATGTTTGTATATGTTCATGGGGGGGGCCCCAAAGAAAAAGGTTGGGAACCACTGGTTTATGAATCTGCAAGGTATTAAAAACTTCTAGAAATGTCTTTGTTTGCAACACAAATAACCAGAACAGCATATTAAGTAGAACATTAACCATGAGATCCAGTGCTAGTTTACATCAGCGTATCTCCATCATGGCCAAACATGGTAACTGATCAAATCGCAATGCAAGTGAAAACACTATAATGAATTTGAAGCAGCAAATACCTTAGATAATTATTTGGTAATAACTAGAATTAAACATTTTATAAATAAAAAGTTTTTTCTGTACTCTCAGAAATAAAGGTACACAAGCTGTCACTGGCATGGTACCTTTTCAAAAGGTACAAATTTGTACTTAAAGGCTTCATATTGGTACCTCAAAAGTATATATTAGTACCTAAAAAATTGAAGAGGAACACTTTTCTACTTTTTAGGTACTAATATGTACCCTTGAGGTACTAGTATGGACGAATTTGTAATATATTTTTAAAGTTTTAAAATGTGTCTTGTTAAATATACAGTTAATGTTAATGCACAGGATAACAGGATACATATATACATACACTCACTCACTCACCGGCCACTTTATTAGGTACACATTACTAGTGCCTGGTTGGACCCCCTATTGCCTTCAGAACTGCCTTAATCCTTCAAGGCATAGATTCAATAAGGTACTGGAAGTATTTCACAGAGATTTTGGTCCATATTGACATGATGGCATCACGCAGTTGCTGCAGATTTGTCGTAATGTGAATCTTCCATTCTACCACATCCCAAAGGTGCTCTATTGGATTACGTTCTGGTGACTGTGGAGGCCATTTGAGTACAGTGAACTCATTGTCATGTTCAAGGAACCAGTCTGAGATGATTTGTGCTTTATGAAATGGTGCATTATCCTGCTAGAAGAGCTGTCATGTCAAGAGCTGAGTTGCTGTCATGAGATTAGCTGATTATAAATTTGCATTAACAAGCAGCTGTACCAAATAAAGTGGCCAGTGAATGTGTGTGCGTGTGTGTATACAGTATATATAGTAAAATATAAATTTGCTTTTAATATGTTTTACAATGCTTTATACTGTACTGTAAATGGGTTCAATTGAAAGTAATATGAATGAACTGGGCATCTTTTTCTAATTTGCATTTTGGCGTGTCTGTTTGTCTTTCCGTGCGAGCTTTATTTGCTGGAGCTGAAGAGAAGGTTTCCACCATTAGCAGTACTTACGTTCCCTCCTCCTCCAGTACAGGCGCTGGGCAGAGCAGGTACGTGTCCTCCACTAGCAGAGGCCTCTTCACTGCAGACAAACAACACAAAGAGAGAGTCTTTCAGCTGCATATCAGCCATTTTGTTTCATTTCATCTTCATGTGTTTAAGGATAATTGAACAGGAGCTCCACCTGAAGCGCATTGAAAAGTAGCTTCACTATGAAAAACAGTTGGGGTCATGGAGGTTCTTTGTCTTTGTTAAGTTTTGTTTGGCAAAGATGCTTTAACTTGGTCAAAACCAACATTGAAGGCATTTATCATTTTACAGCTCTTTTTAATTTTCTGTAAAACATTCTTAATATACAGAATGCCGGCAGCTAGCTCTCTGCTACTCTCACATGATCGCCCACTGAAGCTAAGCAGTGCTACAAACAGTCAGTACCTGGATGGGAGACCACTTGGGAAAGCTAGTTGCTGCTGGAAGTGTTTGTGAGGCCAGCAGGGGGCGCCCAACCTGCGGTCTTTGTGGGTCCTAATGCCCCAGTATAGTGACAGGGACTCTATACTGCTCAGTGAGCGCTGTCAGTTGAATGAAATGTTAAACTGAGGTCCTGACTCTCTGTGTGTCAGGGTTCTGCCACTCTGATCTTGTAAATTCTTGTTTTGGTGGCAGATCTCGGATACTACTCGTGTCTGGTCCTGTTTCTGTCTCTGTGTGTGCGCGCGCACCGTCGTGGGTGTACGCAGAGTGTGCGCGCTCCTGCTTGACGCGGCCGCGTGCGCGCTCTGCGTCCCTCAGACGCGTGCGCTCTTGTACTCGTGTTTGTGTTTTCGTCTGTCAGCAGCATGGTGTTTCATTCCCAGCGTCTCAGTCTTGTTGGTTTCGGTTTTGGTCGGCGCTGGGATGAAGCATGCATGCTGCATATGTGAGCGCATGGTGAGTGCTTTCATTCATCGTGTGCTCGTGTCTTGCGTCTTCTGTCAAAGCACGTGGTTCGGTGTTTACATTGTGGTCACGTGCTTTTGTCGTGTGCTTCAGTGTTGTGTTATGTGAGCGCATGGCTTGTATTGTCTCTGTGTCATGCGCTCTCCCGTCTATTGTCTAGTCCCACCCTCCTTGTTAACCCATTATTAGTTAATTGTGTTCACCTGTGTGTCAATTTACTTTTTGCTTTATAATCCCCCTCATGTTCTCAGTCCTTTGTCAGTTCGTCGTCAATATTACTCTGTCTTGTTGTCTCCAGTCCTGTTTTGTCCTGCCAGCCCTGTCAAGTTTGTTTTTGCCTTTTTATTAATGTTTTCCCCTTCGGGGTAGTTTTGTTTTGCCTTTTATTTTTATTTGTAGTTTATAATAAATATTCCTTCATTTTTCTGCAATTGGGTCTGCACTCCTTTTTTTCCCTCACCGACCGTGACACTGTGGTCATTAAAAATCCCAGAATGTCCTTCGAAAAAGAGTAGGGGTTTCACCCTGACATCCTGGCCAAATTTACTCACTGGCCTCCCAACCATCTCCATATCATAATTATTCATATTCGTCATAATGTTGCACCACACAAATTGAGAAGTGTGTAAATGTGATGATTTAAAAGCATTTTTTGACATTAAGATTAAATGTTAAATCTTAACACTGTTGAAAACGAATATTAAAAAAATGTATATATTAAATGTGGAAGATTTTTATTTGTGTATATATAGTCAGTGAAACACTTTTCAGTGTTTATTAAACTCATTTGCTCATTGTCTGTTTTCTTTTAAAGTCTTTAAACTTAATTTTGGGCGAGGCAGTGGCGCAGTAGATCTGCAGTCGCCTCACAGCAAGATGGTCGCTGGTTCGAACCTCGGCTCAGTTGGCGTTTCTGTGTGTAGTTTGCATGTTCTCCCTGCCTTCGCGTGGGTTTCCTCCGGGTGCTCCGGTTTCACCCACAGTCCAAAGACATGCGGTACAGGTGAATTGGCTAGGCTAAATTGTCCGTAGTGTATGAGTGTGTGTGTGAATGTGTGTGTGGATGTTTCCCAGAGATGGGTTGCGGCTGGAAGGACATCCGCTGCGTAAAAAAAAACTAGCTGGATAAGTTGGCGGTTCATTCCGCTGTGGTGACCCCAGATTAATAAAGAGATTAAGCCGACAAGAAAATGAATGAATGAATGAAACTTAATATTAAGCCTTGAAGGGCCTATCATTTTCATGGAGCATATAATTCAATAAATATAGCATAAAATTTAAATAATATAATTTAATAATTCATATAAAGCATAAAGTTTAATATCTGTGAACATATTAATTACATAAAATTTACATATGCACTGGATAAAATATTTAGCACAGCCTTGTATGTTACACTTGAACAAGTAAATATATTCATCCTAAAGCATTAAATAAATGTTGTAGAAAGCCCAAATGTAACTTTCTCAATCATCGACATATTTTAATTTATTTTTTGATTGTATTTCTTGAAAAGTAATGCTTCAATGAATGATTTGACAGATAGAACCTTATAATTCCAAGCGGAAAATGACTTTTCAGAATGAGAAGGTTCCATCTGCATTTACCGTGTTTCTTTTACTCCGAGTAGCAAATGTAAGAGAGCTTTGATAATTTACATTTAGAGAATCCTTGGGGTCTCTGTCATGTTATGCATGAAACAGAACTGTCACACACATACTGTTTGCTATATGGATTGTAAAAACTTAAGCTCAATATCTCAAAATCATTCAGACTGCAGATAGAACCTTATAATTCTAAGGTGACGTTTTGTTGTCAGGACTTTTTGTCATATCAGTTGCTACAGCGTAAGACTTTTATTGCTGTTTCTAATAAACAGATCTGTAATAAACTAGATTTTTATTATTTTTGTTTCACAACACTGACAGCATTTAATGCAGGACTGTTTTGGGTGGTTACTGGATGTTTGGTTACTGGCTCAAAACGCAAAAGTCCACCCTCAAGGTCTCCATGATGGGTTTTTCAATGCATATGAGTCAAATCCCTCTCGTATTGCAAGGCTAAGGAATTTTGTCACTTAGTTTTTATATTAATCATAATTTGAGGTATTATTCACACCGACAGCACACTTTCAAAAACCCCCTAACTCTGCGGATGACTAACAATCCTACGCTTGCCACCACCATCACCACTAATAATTATTTTCAGTATTTTTTTACCATTCAGCTTCAGCCTAAAAGTCAAGGGCAGAATTTTTCATGCTCTCTCCGCATGAAAAATGAGAAACTGGAAAATGTTTGACTCCAAAGCCTATTTACCCTGGCCTAGACGCTCACACACACACACACACACACACTGGTGAGTCGAGCTGTGCATTCCCCGTGCCATCTGATATTCTTTAAGTCAAACAGCAGCTGAGAGAGGAGGACAGAAACACAGGAATCATCCAAATCCAGCATTCCAGACACTGTGCGTTGAGCCGTTTTATTAGTTACCCGCTGTACTAAACAGTTATGCAACTGTAATACGATGGGGAGTTAAATCCAGTCATATAGTCTCAACTATTTAAAATCATTCACCTCTATTTATTGAATTGATTTAACTTTCTTTACATTTGCAAAGCAATGAAATACATTTGACAGTATATTCATTCATTCCCTTTTCGGCTTAGTCCCTTTATTAATCTGGTGTTTCCACAGCGGAATGAACCGCCAACTTATCCAGGTTATGTTTTAGGCAGTGGATGCTCTTCCAGCTGCAACCCATCACTGGGAAGCATTCATACACACTCATTCACACACATACACTACGGACAATTTATCTTACCTAATACACCTACTGTATAGTGGAATTGTGGGGGAAACCGGAGCACCCAGAGGAAACCCATGCAAACATGGCACCATGCAGCCATACATTTTATAGTTAAAGTTTATATTTAAAGTATAAAGTTGTGTGGTAGCAGTGTGTGAATATAATCATATATTTTAATACACTTGTTTAACTTTTTTTTACATTTGCAAAACAATGAAAGACACTTTATATTTAAGTTCTGGTAATATTTTCCATTGTGTGTGTAGATGTTTGTGCACAATATAATTCAGCCACAACTTTAAGAACTAAAATCCCTGCTAAAAAACTGCTTAAACCAGCCTAAGCTGGTTGGCTGGTTTTAGCTGGTCAATCAGCTTAGTTTTAGAGGGGTTTTGGCCATTTCCAGGCTGCTTTTCTGCCATTTTCAGCCTGGTCTTAGCTGGTCACCCAAATTCAGCTTTTCCAGCCTGGTTTAAAGCTGGGCATGGCTGGTTTTGGCTGGGCTCGCAGCCTGGCCAAGCTGGTTTTAGCTGGTAATCTCAGCTGGAAACCAGCCTGGAATGGCCCAAACCCCTCTAAAACCAGGCTGGTCAACCAGCTAAAACCAGCCAACCAGCCTAGGCTGGTTTAACCTGTTTTTTTTTCAGCAGGGTATCATATCATCAGGGGTGGATTTAACCAATAAACAAGGTAAGCGGCCGCTTAGGACCCTAGGACAAAAAATGTTTATGCATATGACTCAAATCCCTCTCGTATAAGTCTAAGGAATTTTGTCACTTAGTTTTTATATTCATCATAATTTGAGGTATTATTCACACCGACAGCTTACTTTCAAAAAAGAACCCCTAACCCTGCAGATAACTAACAATCCTACGCTTGCCACCACCATCACCACTAATAATTATTTTCAGTATTTTTTTTACCATTCAGCTTCAGCCTAATTCAGCCTTATAATTCAGCCATAACTCAAAGAACTAAAATCCCTGCTGAGAAAAACTGCTTAAACCAGCCTAAGCTGGTTGGCTGGTTTTAGTTGGTCAACCAGCCTATTTTTAGAGGGGTTTTGGCCAGGAAGGGAATCATATCATCGGGGGCGGATTTACCCAATAAGCAAGTTAAGCGGCCGCTTAGGACCGCTTACGACCCCCAGGACAAAAAATGTATCATAGTCAAAGCCTAAGTCCTGTAATGCAAAGAATAAACCTTTCATATGCATTTTGATGCATTGGCTGAACTCTATTTACATTTACAAGAAAACAATCTAAGACACTTGAACGAAAAGTCCTAGTAATATTTTCCATGGTGATAGAATGTTCGTAATAAAATTCAGTCATAACTTAAAGAATTAAAATCATTTGATTAACCTATTTGATAATTCTAAAGCACTTAACTTTATTTACATTTGCAAAACAGTGAAAGACATCTGGTAATATCTTCCATTGTGTGTTTATAAGTGTAAATGTGAGTTTGTGCACAATATAATTCAGTCATAAATCGAATTATAATCATTTAACGATATTTACGCTTTGAAGGTGTTTTTAGTGCAGTATAGTTATAAAGTGAAAAACATTTCATATCTTTAAATGAAAAGCCCTGGTAATAAAATAATGTCACCAGCAATAAAATTCAGTAATATATTAAAGAATTAAAATAATCTGTTTGAGTTTAAGGCATTGCTTTAACTCTATTTACATAAGAAAACCTAAACATTTCATATTCTTTCAGTTAATATTTTCCATTATGGTGTGTAGGTGTGCAATTTTTAAAAAATCAGTCATTGTAGGCTTACTCAAGGAATAAAATAATGCGTCACATGCGAAAATTCTGTAAAAATGCTATACTGCAATAGCTAGACCAATAGCCAATATTCCAGTGTACTCTGAAATGGTACTGAATAGTAGGAATGACCCCTATATGCGTTTTAATGCATTGGTCTAACTCTATTTAGCCTACATTCACAAAACAATAGAAGACACTTCGAAAAGTCCTGGTAATTTTTTCCATGGTGTGTTTTTAATGGTGAGTGTTTGTGCACATGTGGTTTGCGTTGAAGGAAAGTCTTCTGATTTACAAGAGCTGCGGCCAAGCTTTCACTCGAGCGGCATGCTAACTAACATCCAGTTGAAGAAAACATGACAGCCATACCGACATTTGGATTCAATTGACTTATTTACAGTTATTAAAGTCAAAAACAAAGCTGTCTGCGTTGCCGCGTGCATGAATACATCGTTATTTTTTCAATGGGGCAAATAAAAATCACGTCACTTCTTATCAAAATGACGAGATGTTTATTATAATTAGCGGCTAATGCTAACTGGTAATGATTTAGTGGGCAGTTTTCACTTACTCACGGTGAGGGTGTTGTTGATTCGGAAGCTGCAGAGGATTCGGTTTACATCACGGGCGTGAAGAAATCCGTTTCCACGAACCACCACCTCAAAGGATTCTGAGTGAGGAAATAATAAATCATTTGCAATTCAATGTGAACATAAATCATAAACACAACGTATTTTTCTGTCGTTTATGTTGTTTTCACTCAGTTAAATGTGAAGAGGATTTTATTCTCTTTAGGCAAACTTAGGCTATATAGGTAACCAATACGTTTTTTTTTAAATCAATGTAGCCTATTTTTAAGCACTCACTAAATTTATTAATGTTTTTTTAGCAGGATTTTGCTATATTTGTTGCTATAACTAATAAAAAAAATGTAGTATTTAAAAAATAATTGTCTACTTAATTATAAAGTTAGCTATAATTTATTTACTAACACGAACTAGTATGAAGAGCTGGTGCTCCTCCAGGAACGTGGTTGAGAAACACTGAGTTACATCATAGGCTACTATTATTAAAAGTTGTACTTGTCAACATTTAGCTAATGCATCAAGTTAAGGACCTAACAATGAATTACTTTAGACTAATTAAAATTGTAAATTAAAACTCCCCTAAAATACTCTTTTCCATTTATTCGTAATATTTTTCACTATACTTTAAACCCACTAGGTTTTAGCTGTTTGCCATCAAGAATTTTATATTAATTTAAAAACAATCAAAATCTTATGATCAGTTATTTTTTTATATTTTAAAAAAGTACAGATCAAAATAAGTTTGATGTTTAATTTCGACACTTACATATGCAGAAAGACAAATTACTTCACCTTATTTTGATATCTATAACCCAGAAGACGCAGGACGTCAACATGATGTTAAATTGACGTTGTACCCCAACGTCTTGGGGATGTTGCATTTTGCTTGGAAAGAAAATTGGGTTGACGTCAGAACCCAATGTCAATGTCAGACAGATGTTGCATTTTGGTTACATTCCAACGCAACCTAAAAACAACGTCTAAGGGTGTTACAACTTGACGTTGTGTGGATGTTACCACTATGACTTCTATCACACATTGGATTTTAGTTGCCATACCTGACAAATAAATGTCAGTATTTGGCGCTAATATGACGTTGGTTTAAGGTGTTGGCTTGACATTGCATTTTGGTCACTTTCCAAAACAACCTAAAATCAACCTAATATCAACACCATTTCACATCGCTATTGAACATCAAACTAACATTGTCCTTTGATGCTGGGGACCTAAATCTAACCTAATATTAACGTCTTATGATGTTGTGTGTCTGCTGGGAAGTTATGTCAAACAATTACGGGATAGTTCACCCTTGACCTTTTTTTAAACCACTTTATTTAGTGTTCAGCAGAACAAAACAAATCAAGCTGGTTTGAAACAAGTCAAGTGTGTGTAAATGAAGAACTCTATGGGTGAACTGTCCTCTTAAACTAAACAGTTTACTTCTATATAGCATTGCTGTATATCTCAAATCACTTTAGTCAGTTGTTGCTCATCTTTGACCAATATGCCAAAACAATACTCTGTCTGGAACAGGTCTTCACTTTCATTCTGTTTACCTCCGGCACAAATACTGGAAGGCTCCACGGCGAGGATCTCTATGCAGGATCTCTTCAGAATCTAAGGCAAGAAAAGTTTCATGCCTTCATTAGCATGCCATAAATAACATTTTATTTTTTTAACCACACACACACACACACACACACACACACACACACACACACACACACACACACACACACACACACACACACACACACACACATATATATGTATATATATATATATATATATATATATATATATATATATATATATATATATACAATAGAATTTTTAAATAGATATTTTTATAGCTGACATGGTCCTCATTTTTTCTGCAGTCATTGATGGATTTATTTCCCCTTACGTTGAGTTTATTGCAATGCTTTATCATCAGATTGCATTTTTACTATATGATGGATAAAATATGCAATATCGTACTGAAATACTTAATTAAGGCTGATTTATACTTCTGCGACAAACGCCGGCGTATGCTACAGCGTTGATGCATAGCCCTTCGCCGTGGCCGTCGGCGTCGCTGACGTGCACCGCTCAAAAATTGTAACTACACGTCGCAACGACGCGTAGCGCAAGCTCTGTGATTGGTCGGCTTGGTAGCGCTGACGAGTCAGGGCGGGACCGAGAGCTGCGCGAATGGCGCGAGCTGGACGCGAGCCCAATGAAGCGATTGTTCACAAGTGTGGAGTCCTGTGAAGGAGCTCCGGATGGAAAGTTTGTTTTGTGTTTACCTCATGGTTAAAGTTGTTGCACGTCCGCCAGTTCCTGCCTCAAAATGAGCGAGTTTGAGCCACTTGTAGTGTTCAGGAAAAGCAAAACAGCAGAGAAGAAACTCGACACAGAGAAACATTTACACCTCACTGCCAACTAGCATTTCAGAAGTGTTAATGCAGACCAACAGAGACAGCGCGCAGAAGTATAAATGCACAGCTACGCGCGTTGCATGCGCCGGGGGTCACGGTGGTCACTTGACGCAGAAGTATAAACCAGGCTTTATGTGCTATGCAGGCTAATCGGGAGGACCGTGAGAATTCCCGGTGGGCCGGTCCGTTTTTTGGCCGCGAGGGCCGGTGTTCCTAGCTCCAGAATCTGTTGCTCTCAGCAGTCACACTTTTTAAAAATAATTTATTTATTTACTTGACCACAGCCTTCTTATTCATTATTTTACCGCAGCTCTGCTCCCTGCAGGTTAATGATATAACTAGATAAGTCACCACTCAATGTTCAGCTGTTGTGGTACAGTGGTTAGCATGTTAGGTTATGATGCCGCCAACCCGGGTTCGGTCCTCGTTTGAGTAACATTTTTTTTTTTTTTTCATTTTTATTGTTAAGACATATAATACTGTAAGGGTTGTTGAACATTTGAAGTTCTAAAACAGCTGTTTTCTCAAAAAAAGATGTGATAGTGTCAATAGAAACTGAATTGGAAATGACCTTATTTTAATATAGTCAGTGGTGAACTGAGGTGAGCCGGTCTAAGGCTTGAAACTCCTGTGCTGAAAAAGAGTCCCACTCCGGCCTTGGTGCTATGCATGCATCAGAATACATTTTTTTCAGTGAATGATGCATGAAAGATGCTGTATTGCTTTTTGTTAATATTTCAGTGTTCAGTGTTTGTTGCGATGCATTATTAAATAGTTTTTAAGTACCAGCTGCAACTGTAGTTGTACTGTATTGTAATTTGTTTTACCAGTATTATCATTAAAACATTCATTCATTTTCTTTTCGGCTTAGTCTCTTTATTATTCCAGGGTCGCCACAGCGGAATGAACCGCCAACTTATCCAGCACATTTTACGCAGCGGATGCCCTTCCAGCCTCAACCCATTTCTGGAAAACATCCACACACACTCATTCACACTCATACACTACAGACAATTTAGTCTACTCAAATCACCTGTACCACATATCTTTGGATTGTGGGGGAAACCGGAGCACCCGGAGGAAACCCACGCGAAAGCAGGGAGAACATGCAAACTCCACACATAAACGCCAACTGAGCCGAGGCTCAAACCGGCGAACTTCTTGCTGTGAGGCGACAGCACTACCTACTGCTCCACTGCGTCGCCCCATCATTAAAACATGCAGTATATTATTGTATACAGATACTGTATGTGAAGCACATTTCCTAGCCTGTAAAGTGCTATTTTAAAGTTCAGTGTTTTTGATTTCTGTACAAAACCCTGTTTTAATGAATAATGCATAAGCCATGTACGGTGGCCGAGAGAGCTTAAAGTGCTGCAATTTAAGAAAACACATGCAGTTACAAAAAATTATGAGAATGCACTGCATTTTCTCACTTTTAAATAGCATGGAACACATGTTTCAAGGGGATCCTAAAATGTGACGGACACAGCTATTTGTGTTACGGTTATTTAGGCTAAAATAATATGGAAGACAAGAGAATCAGGATACTTTCAAAAGATCAAAACTTTCAAAGATCACCTACGACTTCACTGAGCAATACTCATGGTACAGTGGCATCCGTCATGTTTTTGGGTCCACTTGAAACATTTCTGTTGTGTTCTGTTGTTTTTGCAAGTCTTTAGAGAAAATGCGGCACATTTTTGTAAAATGTTTGTGCTGTGAGAAAATGCAATGTGTTTTTTTTTTCATGTGTTTGCATTGTGAAGATTTGCAGCAGGTGTGCTGTCAAATGGATCTTTTCTTCGTTTGCTGGTGTTTTTTTTGTAATTGCATGTGTTTTCCTAAATTGCGCTCTCTCGGCCACAGTAGCCATGCTTATTTGCATCAAAAATGGCCATTTGATCCAGGAACACAGTTAGGCCTTGATCACACTGAATGTGTTATTTGCATTGAGAGGTGCATTTTATGAATGGTTTACTAATAGCAGAGAGCGATTTGCTTGCTGCTTATGCACCCTGAGCACCTCGCATTTTAAAGCAGCGCCTTACATTTTTGCCATTGTGCTCTGTGCACCTGTGCTTGAAACAAGTTAACTCTCATCATGTGTCAGCTGCGTCTTCATACTCCAATCAAACGAAAGCAGGTGATGAAAAGGTGACAGCAGTGTTTGTGTTGTCAAGATGACAACGGGGACTTTTAAAGGTGGAGGACAAACTAGTTGTCACTGTTTTGAGTTATTCAGAGTTGAATCACAATAATACTAAATATTACAATTATAACACTATCAACAGCAGTGCTCACGCACAATACGCAGCTGATTAAGTAGTTGCCTAGCAACATAAATAGCGCAGCATACTTCCGTTTTTCTACTTTCGTATTCTTCTAGTATGGAAAATGGCATTTGGTGTGATTGGCCATTTACTACTGTATATGCCTTGATCACACCGAACTAGTTTTTGCAATAAGACGTCTTTTTTGCATTGTTTTTTAATGGTCGCAGGTGCTTTGTGTGCTGCTTTTGTGCTCTGCACGCATCATACTTTAACCGCCTGATGTGAATCACATTTTTGCAGTTGCGCTATGTGCACCTACAGATGAAAAAGTCAACACTGAGCAGACAAAAGTACTACGACAGTCTTGTCTATTTCATTCTCCAATCAAATGAAAGCAGAGGCGGGGTTTCCGTTGAGGTCAACCCGACTCTACACCATAACTTTCCAATCCAGATGGATGGGGCAACCATTACTGCATCTAAAATGGTGAAAAGCCTTGGAGTAACGATTGATGACCAACTAAACTTCTCTGACCACATTTCTAGAACTGCTCGATCGTGCAGATTCGCACTCTATAACATCAGAAAGATCCGACCCTTCTTATCTGAACATGCAGCTCAACTCCTTGTTCAAGCTCTTGTTCTCTCCAAACTGGATTACTGCAACTCTCTACTAGCTGGGCTTCCAGCTAACTCTATCAAGCCTCTTCAGCTGCTCCAGAACGCAGCAGAATGAGTGGTCTTTAATGAACCTAAAAGAGCACATGTCACTCCGCTGCTCATCCGTTTGCACTGGCTGCCAGTTGCTGCTCGCATCAAATTCAAAGTTCTGATGTTTGCCTACAAAGCGACTTCTGGCTTTGCTCCTTCTTATCTGCTCTCACTTCTGCAGATCTATGTGCCCTCCAGAAACTTGCATTCTGTGAATGAACATCGCCTCGTGGTTCCATCTCAAAGAGGGAAGAAATCACTTTCGCGAACGCTCACGCTCAATCTGCCCAGTTGGTGGAATGAACTCCCTAACTGCATCAGAACGGCAGAGTCACTCGCTGTTTTCAAGAAACGACTAAAAACTCAACTATTTAGTCTCCACTTCACTTCCTAATCTGCAATTGCCTCTCTGGATATACCACCAACTGTACCCAAAAAAAATAAAAATTACTAATACTTTCCTTTTTAGACTTTACAGACCTGAAACTTGCCTACAGCACTTATTCATTGTTGCTCTTATAGTTGTGTAAATTGCTTCCTTGTCCTCATTTGTAAGTCGCTTTGGATAAAAGCGTCTGCTAAATGACTAAATGTAAATGAGGTGACGGCAGTGTTTGTGTTAAGACGACTGTAGAAACTTTTGAAGATGAAGGAGAGACTAGTGGTTGCTGTTTAGAGTTATATGGAGACTTCACAAATTGTAGATATCATAATATCATTTAATATTACAATTATAACAACAGGTGGCATGGTGGCTCAGTGGTTAGCACTGTCACCTCACAGCAAGAAGGTCGCTGATTTGAGTCCCGGCGGAGTTTGCATGTTCTCCCCGTGTTTGTGTGGGTTTCTTCCGGGTGTTCCGGTTTCCCCAACAGTCCTAACGCATGCGCTATAGGTGAATTGAGTAAGCTAAATTGGCCATAGTGTATGTGTGTGAATGAGAGTGTATGGGTGTTTCCCATTGTTGGGTTGTGGCTGGAAGGCCATCCGCTATGCAAAACATCTGCTGGATAAGTTGGTGGTTAGCACTGTCGCCTCGTAGTAGGAAGTTTTGAGTCTTGGCTGGGTCAGTTGCCATTTCTGTGTGGAGTTTGCATGTTCTCCCCATGTCCATGTGGGTTTTCTTCGGGTGCTCCGATTTCACTTAAAAACAGGTATGCGGTATAAGTAAGTTTGGAGGAACTAAATTGGCCATAGTGTACGAGTGTGTGTGTGATTGTGAGTGTGTATGGGTGTTTCCCAGTACTGGATTGCAGGCGGCTGTGTCAAACATAGGTTGGAATAGTTGGCAGTTCATTTCACTGTGGCGACCTCTGTTAAATCAGAGGCTAAGCTGATGGAAAATGAATGAATGAATTATAATAATATCAACAGCAGAGCTCGCGCACAATAGACAGCTGATTCAGTGGTTGCCTAGCAACATAAAAAGTGCAGTGCACTTCTTTTTTTCTTATGGACAAAAAAGGACGTTTTTCAGAAAGGAAAAGTGTGTTTGATATTATCGGCAACTTCTGCTGACATCTATTTAATCATCAATAGAAGGATGTGAGAATAGTCTGAGTTGATCCACTCACTGAATCAATGACCCCTTGCAGCGCTTCAAAGCCATCATTTACCGGGAAGACGTGATCTTTGCTATCAGCTATTGTTGCCAGCTGTGAATAGACAGAAAAGATGGAAATATGCTTATTCCTCATGCTGTATTTCAGAATCTGAAAAACCAATATTTACAAAGGAGCGCTGAATGACTGTCACCTCACCTGGGTTTCATTAAAGTCCTTCACTCCGACACAGTAGACAGAAGCTCCGAGCTGACGCGAGCGGCCGGCCTGCCATTTACACACATCAGAGACAGGCTTCAAAACAACCAGCTGGCTTGCATATACTCGCTTATTACAGTCAGCTCATCTCAAATCTCTATGAGCCAGATAATGAAATAGGCAATAATAAAAGGTCCCAGGCTTGGTTTATTGCTGCTGCCTCAGACTTTAGGTGATACATAGATTTTTTTGTCATGCTCTGGGGAGAAACGCTAGGAAAATATGCGAGTCGTGCATGAGGATGGAGGTGTAAGGTCTCACCTCTCTGGCTGCCAAGTCAAATTCATTCTCGCGAAGTTCTCCATCTGTCAGAGCAATGATGACGCTCGCCGTGCGGTATCCTAACAGAGTAGAAACACACACCTAGAGTCATAAAACTTGCCCAGAGTGCAAATTATAAAGCCACTTTCAGAGTTAGTAAACTCCTAAGAGGATCTTCAGACACTTTGAAGTTTGTCTCATGCATTCGAATTGTCTTTTGGCAGTGGTGGTGCATTTAGATACTCGCTGTTTATCCAGCAGCATAGCAGATAGGTAGGCAGGCCACACACTGCATTGGGGGTTGATCATTTCAGCAATTTTCTTGAATGACAACCAACACCCATTAAAGGATTTTTTGCATTCCTCTATTAAACAGGTGAGTTTTACCATTTTTTGAGTCCACTCTGAATCTCTGGAGTTTTAGCTTAGCTAGCCATATCGGCGCTGAAAATAGCAACTTTTCATCTTCACTTTTCTTCAGTGAAAGGAAGTGGAGGTGTATTATTCAGCTCTGTTTATAGCTATGGTCTACTGCATTGGTTCCCAAAACGTCTTGGGAATAGTATCTGGTTTCCAAAACTTTCCAGGAAGGTTTTCTTTTTTTTTTTTTACACACAATAAATACGAAGGATCCCTCATGGTTAGGAGGTTAGGCCACTAAAAAATTAACTAGCACAAACTTGGAAACATTAAAGGCACAATATGTATAGTTTTCTTTTATTAAAATATCCAAAACCCACTAGAACATTGTTATGTACTGAAGTCAACATTTGACAATGTCTTTGTTCTTTGGTTCAATGCTGGCTCATTATTGATACGTACTCCTGTATACATTTCTGGACAACGCAAAATACGTCAGAGGAAGTTCATTTGTTTTGCAGTTTTTTTTCACGAATCCACAAGAGGCCACTGTGTACACTTTTTCAGATCTAAAATTTCTCTTGGTCGGTCAGTCAACAGTGGCCCCTGGTGGATTTACGTGAAAACAGATGGAAATGGCACTCATGTAAATCCATCAGAGACCGCTGTTGACTGACGGACCTACCGACTGATTGACTGATCGACCAGCTGATACCCCCACCCACCCCCTTCCCTAAACCCAATCGACAGTGTTTTCATAAACAATCCAAAAAAAAGAACAGCCCTCACAGCTGCCTGATTTTTACAACGGTTAAAGATTTTACGACGTTTTTACCCTGTTGCTTATTTTATTTTTTTGTTTATTTAGTTTTTGTTTTACCTGCTTTCTGGAACCTTTCTTCACCGGACTGGAACCCTGTCAACATGGTCAACAGACTGTGTCTCAAGTCTGCCGACGTACATGGTGAGCTACTGTGCAGACAGCAGAAAACCCGTCTACATGAAGGTAAGTTGTCAACTGGTAGCGCGAAAAGAAACAGAAGCCTTCTGTGGCATTCATTTGAAAGACGAAACGCAGGCATACGTAGCTCTGACTACATAATTCACGATCTCCAGAAATGTATAAGGGGGAACATTTTCACAATGAACCTATGTTGACATTTGAAGTGGATCACAACCTTTTATTAAAGCTGTCCTAAAACTTTTAAACATCACCTATTCTTGTCTTAGGACAATTTTTAAAAACAGTTTTGATCCACTTTAAATGTCGACTACTATATTTCTTTGACTTATGTACTTACGTTATCCAAAATAATCTGAAGAATGTTCAAATCCAGAGAAAAATGCCATATTAAATAGTGAGCCGGAGCATTTGTTGTGTTTATTCTAATGACATCACACACCCTTGATTTCAGGTTTGTTTGTTTTTTTGGAAATCAGAGTAACAGCAAAGACAGTTTTATTAGACTGCAAAAAGCAGCTTTATAACAGAAGCCTACAATGTATTTAGTCTGATAAAGCGACCAAAGAACCGTAAGCGGTGGACGGTGGCGTAATAAAAGCTCTGCTGGAGTCCCATAGGATGTAATGAAGACACAACTCCTATGATTCCACACTCAGTGAAGGCATCATCAAGATATGCCCTTGTTTGTTGTGAATACACGCCCTCTAGTGGCCAGAATTTACACACTGTGCCATTAGGGGAAAATTCTGTGTTGGATGTGTGATCACAAAATTTATGCACAAAAAAGGTTGATGGTCTGTTTTCAAAAGTGCAGAAATAAATGAAGCACATATAAAAAAATACTGTCAAACTAATCAGATTTATTTTAAAACTATTGTGAAACATTTGTGAAATGTCAGCCTCAAATACAACCCCAGTATATATTATCAGTGGGATAAATTCAACCTCTGCTTAGGTTGTTTAAACATGTTTATAATGTTTTGAATGTCTGCTTAATATCATGAAAATGATTTGATTCATAACCTACCATCACCTGTTCCATAGTAAATCTGCTGACTTGCCTAGAAAACCACACAAATATATAAAACCACACAAATATATTTATATATTTGAAATTAACAGTGGCTATGAAAGTTAATCTGTGCATGCAGTTTTCTTTAAAACAACTCTTACCTTCTGAAAACCTTTGTGCATAAAGGTGTCTCCACCTGGTAGGACTCGCTGAAGTTCCTCCAGCCCAGCACGAATCTGATCCCTAAATAATAAAATTTGTTTAAATTTTGACAGTTTTCATGGCGTTTTACTGTTAAATTATGTACTCCACACAATATCTTTTAACTAAAGGTAGCTCAAATGTAGTTAAGAACAGAGATTGTATAAATGTTCATTAAAGGGGCTCTATGTAGAGTTCAGAAAACCGTGTTTTTAGCGACACCGGTGGCCATTCAGTGAACTACAGTTCGTAATTAAAAAAATTAAAAGACCCTGATTATGACGAATTATGTAGTCGCAAAATTGCAATATCGATATTCAAACAATATGTACTGACTAGACCTAAAGATAACTAGCTAAAAAATCCAGAAATAAGTTTTTATAACCTGTCGACTCAAAAAAAAAAAAATGAATGTATAGGTCAATTTCAGTGCACCTTTTTCTTATCCTCCTGTAGTTGGAGCTATCTTATTGAATGGCCTGACTAGAAGTTCCTTAGAAAACTTAATTAAAGTGTTGAAACATTGAGAAAGTCTTGTTTTTCAGTGACACCGGTGGCCATTTAGTGAACTGCGGTCAGCAATTAAAAAAATTACTAGAGTCTGAATATGATTAAGGCTACTGATACTTTATTTTCATTCTTTGATTAGAAGTATATAAATACTTTTGATGCAAAAAATTATAATAATTGATGCAGAGAGTGATGTTTCGATAAATATGCATATTTGTGCTTTGCCCTTTCCTCTTAATAATAAATAAATACAAGCAAAATCAGCTTTCGGAAAGCATTGAGCTCATTCCAGATCTTATGATGTGACTATTACAGTTCACAAAATTGTAATATCAATGTTCAAACAATATAAGCTGACTATAAAGCTAACTTGTTAAAAAATCTAAAACTCTAAAGATCTAAAGATTTTATAACCTGTCGACTCCAATAAAAGAAGAGACATATTGAAAAACGAAAATGTATAGGTTTATTTTAGTGCCCCTTTCACCCTCCTTTAGTTGGAGAGATCTAACTGAATTGTCTGACGTAAGGTACCCTAGATTAATTAATTAAAGGGGGTCTGTGTAGCGTTGAGAGAGCCTTGTTTTAGCGACACCGGTGGTCATTCAGTGAACTGCGGTCAGTAATTAAAACATTTTACAAGAGTCTGAAAATGATTAAGGCCAACGATATTTCACATATTTCATTCTTTGATCAAAAGTATATAAATACCTTTGATGGAAAAAAAAACTGATAACAAACGATGCAGAGAGTGGTGTTTCAATAAATATGTAAAATTGTGCTTTCCCCTTTTCTCTTATTAATAAATAAATACAAGCAAAAACAGCAGAAAGCATTAAGCTCATTCCAGATCTTGTGATGTGACTATTGCAGTTCGCAAAATTGTAATATCAATGTTCAAATAATATAAACTGACTACATTTCAAGCTAACTTAAAAAATCCAGAACTAAGTTTTTATAGCCTGTCGACTACAATAAAAGCAGAGACATATCGAAAAAACGAAAATGTATAGGTCTATTTTATTGCCCCTTTTCAATACTTTGTTTTATTTGGAGAGATCTCACTGAATGGCCTGACGTATACTACCCTAGATTCATTAGTTAAAGGGGGTCTATGTAGCGTTGAGAGAGCCTTGTTTTAGCGACACCGGTGGTCATTCAGTGAACTGCGGTCAGTAATTAAAACATTTTACAAGAGTCTGAATATGATTAAGGCCAACGATATTTCACATTTTCATTCTTTGATCAAAAGTATATAAATACTTTTGCTACAAAAAAAAAACTGATAACAAACGATGCAAAGAGTGATGTTTCAATGAATATGTAAAATTGTGCTTTCCCCTTTTCTCTTAATAATAAATAAATACAAGCAAAAACAGCTGTCGGAAAGCACTGAGCTCATTCCAGATCTTATGATGTGACTATTGCAGTTCACAAAATTGTAACATCAATGTTCAAACTATAGCCCCTTTCACACAGTGATACCGGTAAATTTCTGGAAAATTCCTGGAACGACTTTACCGGTATATTGAAAAAAGCGCTGTTCACACAGGCGAGGACGTTACGGAAATTTTCCGGAAAAGAGCATTCACACATCCATTCCAAAATATTGGTAAATTCTGACATCATTCACCACAAATGAGCTTTAAACGGCTGCGCTTGTATTTGTAAACATTTGACTAAATTACAAACTCTGTGGATGATCAATATTGTGAACAACTTTCGCAGGCTCACTTTCGCATGTCGAGATGTTCATAATTGTGCAGGCGCTCATAGGCACACGCAAAGCTTGAAGGTAAACAAACAACGGCTTATCATAAGCATCTCATCGATGATTATTTACACAGTTGGCATTAAGAAGAACATATAAACGTGATCTGACTAACTTCTAGCAGCTAAATGTGTCTGGAAAAATATTCAAAGGCTTTTATCCTCATAAACCGCGCGGACGTAAATGCGTCTGACTGTTGTGATTGGCTAAAGCAGACGTCTCACGTCAGCACGTTCAAGACGTGCACGCGCTTATTACGGGAATCTTTCTTCTGCATTCACACAGCGCAGCATTCCGGCAAATTGCCGGTAATGTTACAACTTCTCTTTCCGGAAAATAGCCAGAACGAATTTACCGGTATTTTCAAAAAGGACCTGTTCACACATACAACCTTTCCGGAAAATTGCCGGCAATTTTCCGGAAAGGTCTGTATGTGTGAAAGGGGCTAATATAAACTGACTACATTTAAAGCTAACTTAAAAAATCCAGAGTTTTTATAACCTGTCGACTCTTAAGCAAAGATATGTCGAAAAACGAAAATTTATAGGCCTATTTCAGCGCCCCTTTTCATCACCCTTCGTTGGATGGAGAAAAAAGTACCCTAGATCAGTTTCCCAACCCTGTTCCTGAAGGCACACCAACAGTACACATTTACAACCTCTTCCTATTTAAACACACCTGAATCAAATCATCAGAAGAGACTTGAAAACCTGAAGGTAATGGGTCAGATAAGGGAGACATCCAAAAAAATGTACTGTTGATGTGCCTCCAGGAACAGGGTTGAAAAACACTGCCCTAGATAGATCTATTTAATTGAATCGCTAGGTAACAATTTTTTTTTATCTTGTCTACTTTACATTTAGTCACATAGTAGCTTTAAGACAGTTTTTTATAGTGAGAAATGACAAGGAGGCACACTCCTGCATCAGAAATCAATGGAGCCCCCACTTCCATAAATGCAGTTTCATCAATTCCACTTTTAATATGAAGGCTCTTTATTTAAATGTCTTTTTTGCTGAAGTGTTGTGGGTGACCGAAGGACGTGAAGGTCTTTAATACCAAATAAAAGACGCAAAATCGAAAAACTGCCTACTAAGGATCCTTCAAAAGTACTTGAACGTGTCCCTCAGAGACAGAAGCGCTCTTTGTATGAGGATTAGTTTTGTGTCACTATGAAAAGGAGCTTCTTTTGAGAAAGGGAAAATCAAATCATATCGATTTCCCTTGAAATGTTTACATCAAGTATCTACAAGTATTTATGGAAAGTTTATTTATACATTGGCAATTTCAAAAATTACGAATAGCCGAAAGCACCCTTACATCTAGCCCCTTCTGTATTACTAAATCAGTGTATCTATAAAGTCTAAACCAGCATACTAACTGCTCTTCTAGATTTATTTGATAAACACAAGATCCAAATAAGCAGACTCTCAGCAGGCACAAAGAAAATCAAAGTACGTGGGGAAAAAAATCAGCTTGAGTTGTTGGCAGCGTGAAATGGCAGCATGTGTTGTGAACTCTTGCCTGTCTTCTGTCAGTTCCATCAGAATTCGTCCCTCCGTTGAAAAGACGATGAAGGACATGCGGAGCTGTGGACTGAATTCAGAGCATAAGGTGACACTTTCTTTTTATTTGTGGACCATAGGTGGCATTAATAGGTGCACTATAGCTATTCATGCTATACAAGCTGTCACAACTGCTTGAAGGTCCCGTGAAGTGCTTTGAAAATGTGCCATTTTAATCAATCTCAACTCAACTGAAACATGAAGAGAGGGCGGGACATATGGTAGCTCCTCCTCCCCCTTAAAAAAACAACCAATGGTGTTTTGTTTTATCACCGCCAGTGAGAGTGGTTGAGCTCAAGCACATCAAATGAGAAGTGTCTTGAAGGGGGCGGGGCATGTCAGATACTAGAAAGCATTTGATTGGTCAGATTTAATGAGAAACTGAAGCATGAGGTGACTTCAGAAAATGGTTGATCCATGTAGGCGGAAGTGACAAACTGCAAGCTTTGGATGTTTACACCAGATTTATATCTTCCAAATGCAAATTTTGTCACCGTTTTGGAGCACACTAGCTTATAGATATCCTTAAAACTAACATACTGATGCTAACATGTAGTTTCACGGGACCTTTAAATATGAATTCAAACCTTTCAGTTATATGTTATGATATTATTATGATATGAAAGTGTTATCTGCAGTCTAATGACAATTTAATTTGAACCACAAGAGAAAACATAATAGCTGATTTTTTACTAATGATATGCTATATAATGTTATGCTAATGACTGCAAGCTGATCTCAAGTTAAAAAAAAGATAGAGGCAGGTTTCTGGCAGGATCACCTGATGAACTTGTGTGCGAGGTGATCGACGAAGTAGTAGATCTCATTCCAGTGGTGCTGCACACTTCCAGACCTGCATGAAGACAGCGTATGTCAAAGACTATATCTACTTCATGCTTTCAATAAGCCAGGGTTAAGACTGCACAAAAAACAACGCAATCACTAATAGTTTTGCATAGTTGACAATTTAGACTCTCCGGCTGTCTTATTTAAAAGGAATCTAATATGCCTCTTTTTAGCATCTGATGTACCTAAAATGTGTGTGTGTGTATGTGTGTACGTGTTTTTGTGACATATCAGGACACAAATCTGTATAATGACATGTGTATGACACAGGTATTACAAAAAGGAGGTGAAATATGAGGAAATTGGTGACGTCCTTGTTTCTCAAAATGCTTATAAATCCTACAGAATGAGTTTAATCAGAGAGTAAAGCTGCACACAGCCTCCTGTGATGGTTGGGTTTAGGGGTGGGGTGAGGGCAATGCAATATACAGTTTGAACAGTATAAAATGAATGGAAACCTATGTATTGTCCCCACTTTTCACAAAAACAAACATGTGTGTGTGTGTGTGTGAAGTTTCAGCTCAAAATACCACAACAGTTTTATAACTCTCTAAAACTAATCCTTTTAGACCTTTATCCATATTGTGGCATTTGGTGACTGTCGCTTTAAATTTAAATTAGATTGTGTTCATTTCAAAAGAGGGTGGAGCTACAAATGCCTATGTGTTAGCATAATGACAGATTCAAAACTCTAATGGCAAACGGCTGCTTCTTACTTAGGGCTGTCTATGCTAATGAGGGAGAGATTGTCAGTAATGGGCGGGGCTTTCCCCCTTCTGATGACACGTACAAATGGAAAATGTCAATCAAAGAGTTTAAACCCATTATAAATGTGACTTTCGCATAATAGGTCCCCTTTAAGGAAATATTGCAGCATTATTCTGGCATTATCATATCAGCGGTCCATGCACATCACATTAGTTCATTCATTCATTCATTCATTCATTCATTCATTCATTTTCTTGTCGGCTCAGTCCCTTTATTAATCCAAGGTCGCCACAGCAGAATGAACCGCCAACTTATCCAGCACGTTTTTTTAACGCAGCGGATGCCCTTCCAGCCGCAACCCATCTCTGGGAATAATTCAATAATTTTGCATCATAATCTATAATCGAAATAACTTAACTAGCATGAGGGCGTGATCAACCTGTCACTCAGACGAGATCCACCAATAGAAACCAGTTCTCAGTTATTCATGGACAAAATAAAGCCCCTGACTTTTGATCTTGCTAAAGAAGCTGTTTCACTCTGATATACATCAAAACAGGGAATAAAAGACTGTTATGACTTGCTTTTGATGCAGAGTAACACTAAACAAGTATACATTAAATTTTATAAAAGTTTACATTAAGAATACATTAAGAAAAAAATTATGACAGCTGGCTTCCTCTAATTAATTTTGTCAGGAATACAACACACCTCTTCGCTGATTTATTTATTTATTTATTTATTTTTCTTTTAAGAAAGATCTCTGCTCTTTTATTAATGTGTTTATGTGTTATTTATATTTTATGTATATTTATTCAATTGCTTTGACAATTCTTGTAGGTGCTAATGTTGTTGTGTGTGTGTGTGTGTGTGTGTGTGTGTGTGTGTGTGTGTGTGTGTGTGTGTGTGTGTGTGTTTTTTTTCAAATGCTCCTTGGGGGGTAGGATGAGGGACTGAGGGTTTTTTGATAGTTGTTGTTTGCCCTTAGTTATTGTTAAAAAAAGTCTACATTATTGATATTGTGGTATTTTTTTTGTAGACTTAAAAAAAACAAGTTAGAAATAAATAAATAAATTCAATAAAATATCAAAAGGTGGCTCTGTGGTTAGCACTGTCGCCTCACAGCAGTTCGATTCCCAGCTGAGTCAATTGCCATTTTTGTGTGGAGTTTGCATGTTCTCCCTGTGTTGGCGTGGGTTTCCTCTGGGTGCTCCGGTTTCCCCCACAGTCCAAGAACATGCACTATAGGTGAATTGGATGAACTAAATTGGCCATAGTGTATGAGTGTGTGTGTATGGGTGTTTCCCAGTACTTTGTTGTAGTTATCCATTGCATAAAACATATGCTGGAATAGGTGGCGGTTCATTATTCCGCTGTGGTGACCCCTGATAAATAAAGGGACCGGGGGGGTTTAGTTATGGGGGGTTGGGGGGTAAACTCACTTGTAAAACTCACTCTTGATCACATTTGATGATGATTGATGATCCTAGCAAACTGAACAGACCTTTTATTCCTGGTTGCTTTGCGCTCGTCCTGTCTTGTTGATATGATTATATGCGTTACTACAGAGACATGTTCATGTGCGCAGCTGTCAATCAATATTGGTGGGCGGGGGAATCGCACTCCTACATCAAGCTGTGGTTGATCTGAAAACCGATCCAATTGGTCCACCGGTTTTATGTTATAAAATTTGAAAAAAAAAAAGGACTGGGTGTGTTTATATCACCCCAATATGACAATATATACACTAAACTTACACACATGTCTGTCCAAACAGAGTTTTTAGAGTTTTTACCATAGGTGCCCTTTAAACCATTGTTAAAAAATGGCACTTATTTTGAAAAAGATCAATCATTTTGTCTTCAACTGTATCTTCAATGGCATCCACATATAAATATTTTTGGTGGTGTTATTGCAATTTCAGTTCATTTTTTAAGTATTCTGTTGCCTTTTATTATTTAAAAGCAAATGCATTTTTCCTGTAAATGATTTGCTAGATAAATGCCAAGCCCAAATGCCTGTAATTCTTTTTAGACCAGTCAGAAAGAAAGCAAAAGACTTGATTGACACTTATACATTCTCGGAAATAAAAGTACAACAGCTGCCATCCTTTCAAAAGTGTACCATATTATTACCGTAAAGGTGCATATTAGTTCTGAAGAATAGTAACCTTTATTTCTCAGTGTGTGACTAATTTTGCAACATGTTCAGTGCAATGTTAGGGTTTTTGTCAGTGCATGCAATCTTCAAGTTGGAATTTTATTAAAAAACACCTTCTGGCATTTTGACACTGAGCATTGCAAGACCTCAGAAGTGTGTTTGAAATCTCAGAGGTCATCATCTATCTGTCTGTTTTCAGATGGTGTGAGATTTGCCAAGTCTCTGGGATGCTACACTGTCAAAAGTACAAACTCAAACAAATTACTTCAGTTTGTTTCAACTGCATAAATTAATTAGCTCCCATTTATTGTATTATGGTTTTCAGTAATAAATAAGTTGGAAAAACTTCATTCTTTTAGGTATAAGAAGCTGAAATTTATTTAAGTTGATCCAATTAGGTATTTTTCCAGTGTACAGCATCTGCTAGCATATACCACAAAAATGCTGGGTTCCGCACAATTCCTGCAGGTTCATTCATTCATTTTCCTGTCGGCTTAGTCCCTTTATTAATCCAGTGTTGCCACAGCGGAATGAACTGCCAACTTATCCAGCAAGTTTTTTTACGCAGCGGACGCCCTTACAGCCGCAACCCATCTCTGGGAAACATCCACACACACACTCATACAGTACGGACAATTTAGCCTACCCAATTCACCTGTACCGCATGTCTTTGGACTATGGGGGAAACCGGAGTACCCGGAGGAAACCCACGCGAAGGCAGAGAGAACATGCAAACTCCACACAGAAGCGCCAACTGAGCCGAGGTTCGAACCAGGGACCTTCTTGCTGTGAGGCGACAGCACTACCTACTGCACCACTGCCTCGCCTCCTGCAGGTTGTCCCAATTCAAAAAAATGTATTGATTTTACAAATGTCAGTAACTTTTACATAAAACAATTAAGTTGTTCCCCCGAAAACTGTCAGAATTGAGTTGTTTCAGCTCATTTTAAATAAACAGCAAAATAATTTTTTAGTGTACCAACCCTGATTTTATTAATTCATTCATTCATTCATTTCCTTTTCAGCTTATTCCCTTTATTAATCAGAGGCCGCCACAGCGAAATGAACTGCCAGCTTATCCAGAATATGTTTTACGCAGCGAATGCCGTTCCAGCTGCAACCCAACACTGGAAAACACCCATGCACACACATACACTATGGACAATTTAGTTTAATTAGTTCCCCTATAGCGCATGTGTTTGGACTGTGGGGAAAACCGGAGCACTCAGAGGAAACTCACGCAAACACAGGGAGAACATGCAAACTCCACACAGAAAAGGCAACTGACCCAGCCGAGGCTTGCACAAGTGACCTTTTTGCTGTGAGGCGATCATGCTACCCACTGCTACGGTGATGCCCCACCCTGTTTTTAGAGTTAAAAATTTTTTTAGAAGAATGTGTCAACCCACAGAATTCTATTACTAAAGATACTTTCAGGGCTCCATTTTGACGGTCCATGCGCAGAGCGCTAAACGCAGGGTGCAAACGCTTTCAGGGCGTGTCAGAACGCATTTTTGCTAATTTACAGATGGGAAAATCCGCTTTGCGCCGTGGCGCATGGTCTAAAAGGGTTGAGTTTATTTTCTTAATGAGTTATAGGTGTGTTTTGCGAATAAACCAATTATAGTCTCATCTCCCATTCTCTTTAAGAGCCAGCTGCGTCGCACCAAGATTTGCTATTTACAGGACGTAAAGTAAGTCTAAGTGGAAAAACTGAGCATTTCACAAGCAAACAGTTAACAGTTTTTTTAACAGAAAACTGTTAAACAGAGCATCTACTGCATGAGAATGAGAGATAATGGATCTACTTTCACTTTCACTCTTGGATATGGAAACCTTTACGCACAGATATCAATTAGTCTATAAATAATTAATTGCGATTGTTAAGCACAAATATTCATTTCAAAACTATTTCTAAATTCAGTTTTAATTTCCAGCAAACGTATAAATGAACAATAATAACGAAGTGTGCTCAAAAACCTGAGTTATATCCTAAAACACATGCTGTGCCCCATATGGTCTAAAACCTGGCAGGTGGGCAAATCTAAGCTTGTTTTTAATAAAACAAATATAAATATGGATATAATAAATAATACTGCTAATATTAATAACATTATACAAAAGCAAATTGTTATGAAT